GGTAGCAAAAGCTGTAGCAGGTGGGGCGGAGGGAGGAGAGGGAGGCAGGTGTGCAGGGGTAGACGTGGAGGCGCCAGCGGAGGAGCGCGGGGGCTGCGGGGCTGCGCCGGGAAAGTGAGTGCTGGGAAGAGAGCGGAGACGCCCAGCGCCCATTAGGGTGATTGGAGTTAAAGGGCTGAGCCGAGTAAAGGCCCGCAGGACTGAGGAGGCGAGAGAGGTGGGATTGGGCGATCCGAGAAGAGCCCGCGGGTTGGCGGCGAGGGCTTGGTAGAGGTAAAAGTGCTAGGGCTGGGGTGGGGGCAATAAAGAACCGGGGCGGGAGGCATGGGGCTTGAAGGGGACCGAGGCTGGAGAAATCGGCGGCGAAGGTAGAGGGCAGGGTTCAGAGCTGCGAACAGTCCGTTGCTTCGGGTGGTCCGGGAACTTTAGGGGAAATGGGGGAGGGGGCCGTGTGAAGGGATGGAGTGGCTGAGATATCCGAGACAAGTTTCTCAGTGTAGGTAGGTGGTATTGTTGCTTGGGCCCACTGGCTGCTTAGGAACGGGAAAAGATGGGCTTTTGGGGGGTGGTGTGTGTATTGAAATCATTTCATTCTTACTAAAGAGGCTGAGACACATCCTCCTCTGCTGGGAACAGCATACAGAAAAGATGGTGCCACCAGAAGCAGTTTGTTCAGTGACTGGCAGGACTTGGTTGAAAAATTTCCTGCTCGTGATTGTAACGATTATAAATAAATTTTAAGTGGTAAACGGAAAAAAAAAAAAAAAGAAAGAAAGAAGACAATGCTCTGCGTTTGGTGGGATCAGGAAGGTGTGGTGTATTATGAGCTTCTGAAACCAGGTGAAACTGTTAATACTGATCACTACCGACAACAAATAATCAATTTGAACCAGGATTTGATCTTGAAACAACCAGAATGTGCCAGAAGACACGGCAAAGTAATGTTGCTTCATGATGATGCACCATCACACACTTCAAAACCAATTAAAGTCACATTAAAATATCTTGCCTGGGAAGTATTACCCCACCTGCTGTATTCACCAGAACTTGCTCCTTCAGATTACCACTTCTTCCGATCAATGGCACACGCGCTTTTTGGGCAGCACTTCAAAATGTACGAAGAAGTGGAAAATTGGGTCTCTGAATGGTTTGCCTCAAAACAAGAAAATTTCTATTTCTATCCACAAATTACCTGAAAGATGGGGAAATGTGTAGCTAGCAATGGAGATTACTTTGAATAAAACACTTTTGGTGTTTCTCTTGAAATAATCATATTTTCTTTGACTACAACAACCGCTGTATTAACGGGTACACCTTTTATATGGGTCATGTTTTCTTTTCATTTTTTTTTATTTTTTTAAGCTTATTTTATTAATTTCTTTATTGGTTAAGGTATTACAAATGTGTCCTCATCCCCCC